ACAACAAAAAAAGAATTAGTTAAATCGGTCCAGCCATTTACGCGTGATGCCGTAACCAAGGGAAAAAGGAAGTAACACAAAACAAAAATATACGTATTACTATATTCTAGGAATTGTAAAACATAGCAAGAAAGTGTCTATAAAACATTAGTTGCCAAGGCAGCCTCCATAACGATGTTACTTGTGCTGACTTGGGCCACTGATTTCCATGGAACCTCGTAGCAGTCTCGTAGAAAAACAATCCGCGATAATCGGATTGTACCACGATACAATATCGTATGTACCGTACCACATACGTAACTATATTTACCGTTACCATGGCAACCGCTTACCACTCGAACCTTTACGGTACCCATAATCTTCACTTGACTTTTCGTTTCCAAGAAAGTAGTGGATACAATTTGGAAAGAAAAATATTGGGTAAGATCCTTTCAGGTAACACGGATTTGTTTATACTAACCCCTTTCAAATATGTAGTGCAATTTACAAGCAAACTGCTCCAATACACTCACTTACTCTAATCTCGTGCTTTTTCCTACTCTGATAAAATTAAAACGTACTCAAAAATTGGACTCCAATTTTCGTTGAACACGAACTTGTTTACTCTTACCAACTTTGGCCGTGAAAAATGTCGTACGAACGTAACCAACATAAAAAGTGCCACCATAAAACTTGTATAAAGATATAAAAACACCAAACACTCGACCTCAATAAAAGGCAAAAACAACTTATTAAAATTTAACACACAACCGTACCTAAATAATTAAAGAGTGAAGAACATGAAATGATTTTCAGTCCGAGCAACATTATGTAAATTATATACCCTCGGACGTGTAACTAGGGGCGTACTTAAATAATAATTACGTTGGGTTGTGTCGGGTGCAAATCATGTAGTGTGACTAAGGTCCGCCGTAGAACATAAGTTTATTATTATTAATGCCCAAGGAAACCGACGATCGCTGGGGATCGGTACAGCGGAAGGCTCGTATTAGCCCTCGTAAGATATCATAGGAACACACTTCGGGATCCCTACTAAAGATATTATACTAAATTAATGTTGTAAAGAGGGGCCGACGTAGTTCAGAGTATTTCAAGAAACGATTCCTAATCTGTATTTATGACTCAAGTTCCCAACTTGGGAATGTAAAGTTTTTGCGGATAGATGAACTTTGTGTACTATATTTTATTTTATTACCACTAAAATCTAATTTCAATTAACCAAACAAGAGTTGTAAGCCTCCAAAAATGGTGTTTATTTTCCAGAACAAGTTGTATAGCTCGAAACGAATATCGAATTTAAACTTCGACAAAACAAAGAAGATGAAATCGAATTCCGATTAGAAACGACACTTAACAAGTAACGCAAGATTACAATTTAACTACAATACACGGAATTGGATAAGTTCAGATCTAAGCCCTTCTGTTTATCCAATTAATCGCGCCGAGTTTCACCAGACAATGAATTTCATTCGCCTCTAAAAGTTCTCGAAGTAATCTTACCACTCGATCCTACAGAGAATACACCCATCTCTTTTACACTTCTTGCATCTGATGAAGCTTTACAGTCTAAGAGAAATAATGTCAGCCTTGTAACTTAATCAAATTTCGTTCAGTTTAGCCGTGACGACGGAATTTCATTTAGCAAATTAACATTTCACTATTTGAAATTTTATGGGAGTGTTTTAAGATTTCCGCGGTGTGATTCCGTTTCATTTCGTGAGCCTCTTTGTCAGGGGCTTAAATCTTGAGATGGTAGATTGGTTTCTTTTTATAGAGCTTATCTCTTTGAGCCTACTTGGTACCTACGGAACTTGAATTGGAAGGATTGTAAAGTACATCGGTATCTACTTCTCTTTATTCAGTGTCAATTCTTACGAGTACTGTTTTATACGTTTTGTAGCATCAAAATATTTAATTCTTACTTACTGTAGATAGGTTTATATTAAAGACTTTTTTGTCTGGTATGTAATAGTTTATAGCGTTAAATATATGCAAATTACAAACAAACACTATCCTGCTTTCTGTAATTACTTCATGAGAAGAAAGAAGGGGATTTAGTTCACAATTTATATTCTAATAATTTTTTTCTTTTAAATTCAATGAAGTTAACGCAAACAATTTATCAAAACAAAAAATCAAAACGTTCTATAATATTGTAGGTTGACTTTTCCAAAAGAATCTATGAAAACGTAAAAATTATGTTCGCTTTTACTAATAATTCTTTTTTCCTATCTTTACAGCGGACAAAGCCCCACCTGGTTTCCCCAGCATCGCGCCGCCACCTACGACCATGGTGGTGGAAGTTGGCCACACCGCCACTCTCCCCTGCCAAGCCACTGGCAACCCCTCGCCGAAGGTTAGGTGGCTGTGGAACTCCTTGCCGCTTGATGTGGCCTCCAATCCCAGATACGCGCTACTGAATGACAAGATGCATGGTAAGTGATACATTATAAAGTATATTTCTAGGTGGTTTAGGTGAATTTTATCACAAGGAAGCTTATCACTGCGGGGATATGCGGCCTCTCAAAACTGCTGCATCTCCTGTAAGCCAGGATCTACAGTAGATACAACCATGAAAACACCGGTACACTCAAGTCGGGCACGTCCTAGCCAATTGTTATTCATTTTCTATCGCTTATACTATAGAGAGCGACACAATTTTTTTTTACTCTGATCACACTGCTGCATATTTTTACAATAGTTCTACGCGACAGTACTGAGTACACCATTATCATCACTTTGATGGACAGCAGTCTATAACTGTTCATTTTGACAAAATTACAGATACTCAAGTTGTCAGTTTGAAAACAATAACACCATAGATAAAATAAAAAAAAACGAAACGTCAAAGTCATTTGAATATAGAATGACACAAAAGCTAGGAACACACACGGTACATTGACGTTTTATCGACAAAGTGCCTGCATTATACGTTTATGCGTCGCCCTGGATACACTTGCAGAACATAATACAAGTCGACTTGTATCCAATCGCCCTTTTATCTCGAAACTTATTCCCGTGATAGCCTGTATACCTAATACGGCGCCTTTGATACGAACTAAACTCCTTTTCATTTTCAATAATGTGTTCGTGTTAACTTTTTTGAACGCCCGCAGCTATTAGGAAAATATAGAAAATGTTTTTCTAATTTGAATTTTAAAACTCTTTCCTGTGGGTTTATATTTTAACGTATTCTATTTATGCACTCAGTTGGCCTTTCATTAGTTCCGAAGAATGGTTAAACATTGGTTTGTCGTTAACCGAATATTTAATATTCACATTTAATACAAAAATATATACTATTATTTATGTATCCGTATAAGTAATACGTATTGTTATGAAAAATAAACTCAAAAAAAAATTACAAACAAAAACATCAAAAAAATAAATATACAAAATTCCATTTCCAAATGAATATGAATAAATAAATTCAAAATTTTAACCATCTTTTTTGAAACAACATTATAGAACACACCATTTTGAAATGTGATACAATTTAAAAAATAAAATAAAGCAATGGCCACACGGCACTATAAATCATTACGAGTCGTCATCGCTTGACGTGAAATTGTTTTAGCGACCTCCTGCATCACTTAGGAGTCACCTATAATTAAGTTTAATTAAGAAAAGATGGGCGCGATTAAAACACGCCGTAGAGACGAATTTAATTTGCAAATCTTAATGAAAGTTCGTCGTATGCTCGAGGTTGGGCGCCACAATATGATAAGAGGCGTCCCCACAAAATGTTAATAATATCAAGTTTTAAGTACCGCGAAAATAGCCTTGATGTGCGGATACAGACGGCAAATTCAATCGTAATATTTTCGTTTATTTCTGTTATGTAATTTGTTAAATTCATTACATTTATCTGAATACAATTCAAGAATTTTAGTTATTAATTAAGTATATTTCAGAATGTGTCTGCATTTTATTCATGATTTTCGTAAACTATTTCATTTATTTATTTATTTATTATTTATGTATAAAAACGGAGTACATACACTGGACTATCTTTATATTTATAACAAACATGTAGGATCTTTTCATATCTGCCACTAGACTAAAAACAAGGACATTACGCAAAGAGAAAACGACTGAATCAGGTATAATAAAACACTTTAAACAATGAATCTAATTATAAGATTTACAAAACCGATCTGCATAAGACTGCTAATGAAACATTTATTACTTAGAAATAAGCACCAACTTCCCAAGTAAATCCTGGCATCAAGTGAATACTTGACAATTAAAACTGTCCATCTGTATTCCGAAATGTTAATAATTTCAATTTTAATACCATTATGCACTTCACAAGAGGTGAGAAAGTAATTTAAATTCAGTTAGAGCAAGCCACAGGCAACTCAACGCGGGCTCTTTTAATCTTAATAATTTTAATTTATTCGAGTAGATTATTTCTTCTCGGTCGACTCGAATATTTTGTAGCGGTAATTGTACGTAAATATTGGTTTAAGTTTAAAAATATTGGAGCTGCAACCCGATTATGGTTCCATATTTAAGAATGGAATATTTCAAACAAACAGTTGTCACACTAATATTATAGATGTGAAAGTTTCTTTGTTTAGCTGTTTGTCCGTCAATCACGTCAAGAGTGGAAGAGCTATCGGCACGAATGGGCCGGCTCGACCGGAGTGATACTACGGCCTCGCAGAAAACCGACGTGAAGCAACGCTTGCGTTGTGTTTCGTCGTGTGAGTGAGGTTACCGGAGGCCCAATTACCCTCCCCTTCCCCAATCTCCCCATTCCCTAAATCCCCAACGATCCTCAAACTCCTAATCCCCAAATGGCTGGTAACGCACTTGTAACGCCTCGGGTGTTCCAGGTGTCCATGGGCGACGCCGATTGCTTACCATCAGGTGATCCGTCTGCTCGTTTACCGGCTTATGCCATAAAAAAAATCACGTTAAAACTACTGAACGGATTTTGATGAAATTTGATATAGGTGTACAGCAGGGTATAGGCTGACTAAGGTGATAGGATATTTTTAGCTTTTTAGCTGTCTTAAAATCGTTAGGTAACTAAAAACGTTTGCAACAAACAGTAGACTAATTGTCTTAATTAGATAACTAATTCCTGAGTAAAAATACAGTAAAAAGTGCATAAATATGCACACAAATACAAGTAGTAGTTAATATGTTTTCTCACATATATTCTTAAATAAATCTAATAAAACAGGGCGGTATTCCGACACTACCTACCACAGAAATATTAAAAAAGAATAAAAAAAAGAAATAAAAAAAAGAAACAGATTTTTTTAAATATATCTATGCTACCGACCATGGGAATTTATGACACTGCCTTAGAAGAGTAATCCTATGTAGTCATAAAATTAGGTGACCCTTACCTATATGATAAATATTAATAATTGATTGCATTACATAATAATAACATAAATATAAATAATTTACATGCTTGCTTGCAGGCAGAATACAGTGAATTTTAGGTTATAAGATTATTCGTTGTAAACCATATTGTATGTACCTACTTCTTGCAAATAAATATATCGATTTGATTTAAACTGTTTTGACGTTCTGCCAATTAGGTATGTAAATAAATTAATACTCTATGTTGCGATTACTAAAAACTATAATTGATTACACAATTATTAAAAGCTAATAATTATTCATTTTACTGAATGGAACAGTAGTAAAATTATTTGTTTAAACACACATCAATAAATATTTGAATGTTTCATATAATTAGTGTTAATTAAGTTACATACCTGCATATATATAGTAAATTATAGTAAATATTTGGTTTACTTGTAAAATTGTCGATTATTAAAACATAAAACCACTATTTTATAGGAGGTTACCACCATCTATAGTGGGTTTATGTCGACAGTAATGTCGATAAATGTTGAAAAAATGACATTATAATGTATGAAACATTATCAATGTCATTTTTTTTCTTTCTTATGCTATAAACGAGCAGACTGATCACCTGATGGTAAGCAATCGGCGTCGCCCATGGACACTTGAAACATCACTGGCGTTACAAGTGCGTTACCGGCCTTTTGGGGATTGGGAATTCAGTTCATGGGCGGGCGGCGTTGCGCTGATTGCTTACCATCAAGTGATCTGCTCGTTTACTGGCTTATCGCATAAAAAAATCTTAAGTTCGGAGTTTCTGTCAAAAATAGATCTAAATGCACAGATTTTGGATCGAGGTAGCGTACCATATTCGGCTGTCAGTCGACTCCTAGACACTCACTCGAAGAATAGAAGTGATGACTCTTCTGAATGTATCCCTTCTGCCACATACCTATCTTAAAACAAACGAACCTAAAGCACAAATAATAACAATACACATAACATAACATCACGCCTTTTATCCCCTAAGGGGTAGGCAGAGGTGCACATTACGGCACTTTCCTGCTACTACTGAGAATTTCTCAAAAAACCCGAGACCCCTTGCCCGGCAGTCACACTTGCGACCACTCGGCCAACGAGGCAGGCAACAAACGAACCTATAGCACAAACAATAACAATACCTATAACATAATTGTCTCGTACCCGAGTCTGGGTGAGTTATCCAAGGAAACCGCTACGTGTCATAGCCGCGACGTTCTCCGTAAACTCGGTAACATTGTTAGACACAGGTGCCGCCATACATTACCTGGCGGTATATGTCTAGCGTGTCTACCTGTGTTGGTAGACATATTATGTCTTCGATCGCTCTGCTAATTAGTTATAGTGGTGCTGTGCTAAGATAATGTAGAGAAATGGCTATATTTATTAGCTAGCTGCCAGCGACTTCACCCGTGTTCCCATGTGTGTGTCGTGTTGTGGTGGCACGGATGTTTAAGACCTGCTTCTCATGCATGAGGATGCGGGTTCAAAACCTACCAACAACAAGTACCAATATAACTTTTTTCAAGTTATATGTATTTTCTAAGAATATCTAGACACCACTGACAAACGGTGATCAAAAACATGGTGAGGAAACCTGGGCTTATAATTTCTAATTATAAATTTGTAATCGCCAACCCGCATTGAGCAAGCGTAGTGATTAATGCTCAAACCATCCATGTGAGAGGTTTTGCTCAGCAGTGGGCATTTATAGGCTGTTGGTAATGATGAACCTTTCGCATTTATTTTATAATATTAACAACATAAGAAGATTTAGTTAGTTCTAGTATGTAAGTAGTCGGTAGCAAGGAAAATATAACAAGTCATAATTAAAACCAACCCTAACATTATAATCCTAAAGCAGAAACTGCAACAACAGCCAACAAAACACAACATCATTAATTCCAATTTCACATTATTAAATCAGAAATGGAAACGTGATACGGAATTGGGTAGGAGTGGGAATGGAATGTGTGAGCTTACATTGTTCTGTGCAGATCTGGATAATACCAGTTTAGCTGGGACCTTGTACGAAAGCAAAGATCTCGTAATAAAGGAGCAGTTT